AAAAATTATAAAATTTGAGTAAAGTTAATAATGTCAATAATATTAATAATAATATAATAAAGTTAATAATGTGGATAAATTTCACTTATAATAAATATCTGATTTCTGAACTATGAAATGCTAATTATATATTCTTCAAGATCCTGAAATTAAGAAATTTTCAGAAAGCGAAGTTGATGCGTCAGTTCTATACGTTACTGATAAGTTCCCCTAATTCACTTCCAGCTACACGTGAACAGTGATGGAAATCAGTGTTAAATATGTGGTTGAACTATCGTAAAGAAAAACAGCTTCCAGAGCTTTTATCGCGACGTCAAGTCATAAACGTCAATTAACCGTGATTCTTTCTGTTGAAGAAGAGAAGGTAGCAACAGTCTACATAAGCGCGAAGCATTATTATCCCCTCATCTGTTTCCGATGCTATCTTCATGTTCTTGTTAATTAACACCTATGCGGCCGCTGATTGTAGCCTCTGGCAGCTCCAAGAACGTATTCATGCGAAGATCTATCGAGAACGCCAACAAAAACCTGAAGAACCGTTTATACGTTTATGCATACTCGCATTTTTTGTCATGTTACTCAATTTTACAAAACATTCTTCTTCTTTGATAATAAACTATGAAAACTACTAAATATATTAAAAATAATAGTATAATTTTTAATATCTTTTGATAAAATGATTGTTTCATATTAATGTAAATATACATTTTATACGTTTTCATAAATTTATCATAATCTATACAATTTATATAAGTTACGGTAAGTTTATAAAAATATTGGAGGATGAACAATTTATATAATATACGAACAAGTTTACTAATTCATAGTAGTAAGTAGATTCAGTCGATAGGATTTTAACTAGTCAGACACTGGTCAAGAATTTTATTTGCATTCTGTCCTACCATTTGGAAAAAGAAATAATAGTACGATCCTCGTTCCCCAAGCTGCAGTTTCACCCTTCTCGTGTTGTTCTTAACAGTAATTTTCAAATTTCTAAGTTTTAAAAATTAGTTCAACTTTCGAAAATTCTATGCTCTAAAATACATGCTATTGTTTCTGTACATTTATTACCTTAAGAGAATATATAATTACAAAAGACTGTACTTTAAAATACTTGAACAAATATAGCCGGAAATGAGCGAAATAAAGGAAGAGAGGCTACAATTTTCCAAGGCGTTGAGCAACGAGATCAATCTGGAAAACGGAAAGAGAGTTCCAAAGGAGAACGTAGAGCAAAACGGCTGCAGACAGTTGGTAGCTGTGAATAACTTCATAACTCTCTCTAAACTAATAATAATCTTAGCTCATTAAACACAAGCTGGAAACTTAATCGCCGAATTTCCGCCGCCCCGCAAATGTCTGTCCTCGCAATGCACAAAGCCGGATGCGCAAGTTTGCTGGAAACTTTAAATCTCACGTGTTTATCGTATCCTCGGTGTATTCGCCAACCCATCGGAATTGAGTTTTCTATGGTAAAATAATGTATCGAGCAAACACGCGTTATAAACTTACTAACTTGATTTTACTACGTTGCGTTCGAAGTTGTCTATGACTTGTACGAAATTAATTAATTAATTAATTAATTAATTGGTTTTACGAAAACACAGTCTCATTTATAATTTCGAAATGTTATTGAAAAAAGTGTACAACGCAACGTGTATATACATTGCTAGATCGAGTTAATATTTAATAATATTTATCAATTTCGGTCACATTATCGTCGAAGAAAATTTTTACTTCGAAGGTCTTCTAAGGTTGAAAATTAAAAATGATAAAGACGATGATATCTTTAAAGACGATAATTATTTTTTTAATATACTTTATATGCAGTTATGTTGCTTTAATATATTTATTATCGACGAAAGTTTCGCGTTCGAGGATAGTTTTCGACACTTTTTAAAATGTTTCTGAATTGCGTCACGTACGAAGCAAGATTGACAGTATTTCTGAAGAAATTGAATGTAAAAGTTTCAACGAGACAAAATAGAAATTAGCTTTCTAAGATCGTAAGCGACGGTGATTCCGTCATTCGAAAGGCGTAAATTCGTTGTAAATTCGACACGAAGGTGTTAATTTGTATTAATTAGAAGTTAGTTGTAAAGAAAAACAATTCGGTGTAGTCCAAATTGAGATGCTTCTTGTAGCCTCGGTCTTCTGCAGTCTGCGTCGTAGACGTGTTTCGCATAATGATCGAACGAGTCGCGTGCATTCTAACTAATTCGCAATTCCTTCGATCCATTCTAGTTTCTTTGTGAATTCCCAAATATTTCTGTTAAAAAACTAATCGAATATGTTATATTTCATATTCATTTGCTCGATATATAAATTATTCTAAGAGATCTTTTTTCTAATTTCATAATGTTCAATTTGTATATCGTATATATTAATGTACACTTACTTCCAGTAGATATAACCAGAATACCGGAATTGCCTATTCTTTGCGTCAAAGAAAGAAAGAATAACGCTAAATCAAATCTTACGTCTGTTTTCAATCCATTATAAAACCGTACATTATTTTCCATAGTTTTATAATGCATTTACGATTTTATAATGGTTTTATGATTGTCGATCTATTGCAAAACTATGATAACTTTCACTCGATAGTTGCTTCTTACGCCAAATGAAATATTATATTTTCTTTTGTAAAATGGGACATAAATATAACTATAAATATGTAAGAAATGTGGCTGCCTTTTTATCGCTGCAATCTCCTAGATTGTCGAAAGAATTTATATTAATTTAAAAATTTCTTTCTTTCGTTCGCCACTGTGTCTACTGGCTACATTGATACAAAGTGTATCCTATACGTGTAACGATAAATCATTGTCTCGAGATATTCGATCAGCTGTAGAAACTCGTCTCTTTGACGAGACCATTTCCACGCATAATGATTATTTACATCGAAGAGACGGTGGACGAGGAGAAGAAAAGCGAAAAGAAAAAGGAAAATGAGAATGGTACTTAACTAAAGAGCGTCTGGAAAAGTAATTGCAAGGCTCGCAATTGCCAGGATGAGTGGCGGACAGAGCGAAGACAAATTATCGAGTATTCGCTGTAATTAAACTTAATACTTCAGCGTTAAGTATGCTATTAACGACGTTGCGTTGCCGCAAAGGCGCAGTAGCATAATCCCTACGAGCTTCTCGTGCGTTCCACGCACGTAATACAGTCCGCATGGTTTCTCATCAACCTCGCGATAAGCTTCATAAATTTTTTCCCAGCTGAAAACACCGGCCCAGTCTTCTGCAGCAACGTCTGTTTTAACTGACAACAAATTACGCTAGAACAATTCCGCTGAATGCTAAAACGTTCTCGTAGTCTTGCAAATCTTTTTTCAGCTTTTGCAAACGGTAATTAAAATTTTTATGCAGTTGTTCCCCTAACTGGAGCATGTGTGTGTTATCCTTTATGAGAAGCTGAATATGTTACATCATTTTTAAGCAAAGAATAGGATAGTTGTTCTGTTGTCGCGCGAAAGCAATAGATCGTACGTTTAAATTGTTTACAAAGAAACTTACCAATGTTGTATTATCATAGTTACGATGCGAGATGTGTTAAATTTAATACGTTATTAGATATTCTATTATGATTAAAATGTAAATTAAGTAATATAATTAAATACATGCTAATATGTAGGTTTCAATTATTACTGTTGGAATTTAATATGTTAGTAAATATTCTGTTTTAATTAAAATGAAAGTTAAGTAGTATAATTAAATACACTGCGATATATAGGTTTTAGATATTACGGTAGTTTATCTATCAGTTAAAAAAGTGTTTTAAGAACTTACAAGTTCTTGGAAATTCAAGGATTTTCCAAGATGAAGATGAAAAAATCCAATATATATTTTTATTCTATATATCATATTTTATTTATATAATATATCGTGTGTCATGTATTAATCTCCCTTGAAATGGATCTCTATCAAGATCTAAATTATTTTTATCCGTGATTTTATTTAGCGAATATTAGTGTGATAAAGAAAATTATGTTTTTTAGTATCTTTTTATAATTTCATTCGATGGAATAAATCATTCGTATTTTTAGCAATGAAATCATGAGAAGCTAAGCAGATTTACGTTTCGTTATTTAAAGACCCAAGCGAGAAAGCCACGCGTATGGTGTTGTGTACACCCCCATTAGTAAGGAAATGGCTAAATACGACGTGAAATGTAAGCAACATGAGTTAATGGAAACAAGCAAAGGGAAAATATACAAAGCAGAAGGAAACAGTCTGATTTCACAAATCCATGTTGTATGAAACCATAACTGAACACCAGGACTCAGGTGTGCAAACCAACTCGGATTTTCCCCTCCTTTTCTAATACTTCCAGTACTATTTCAATTTTATTTGAAACCAAGAAATATAGAACTATTACTATAAAACTTCAATCTCCTTCTGTATTTAGCCACCGACGTGAAATAACACACTTGTATTTACAAACTGTAATTTATTGTCTCGTGCAAACATATAAAAGTGCAATACTTATAACAATATCTTGACATTACTTTGATAATCGATCTTCGAAATTGTAACACGATTGCACAGAATCGTATTGTAACAAGTGAGAATTCCTGGATCACACCTTCAGTCACTCGCATGGCTAACAATTTTCTCGAATTTTCTCTGAACTCTTCTTCTTCAAACTGATCTCTAAAATCGCAATTTCGATCAGCGTTACGTTGTTTTAAACCTAGAAACAGTGACTTTAAAATTATGGAATTTACTCCTTACGCGAACTCTTACAACAGCCTACGGGCAATAAAATCTTAAAATCGAGTTAATCGCAAATTAATCTAAATTAGTCTTGAAGCGAGCGAAATCGGAGAAAACCACAAACGCTGAAATCGAAGCTGCAAAAACGAACAAAATCAAATCTGCCCGCTCGCCGCTACACTTTCATATCTGGCAGCCGGCCAGTCGAATTAGCCTCTTTTTCCCTTTGCAGCAACGTTAGACCTGCATTAATGAAACCTTATTCTTGTTCTTTTTTTCCAGAACTCGGAAATATCCCTCTTCGAGACGAACATTCGTTTCATGGGAAGTCTGCTGGCGTGTTACGCTCTCACCGGGGACGTGATGTTCCGGGATAAGGCGGCTCAGCTCGGCGAACGGATGTTGCCCGCTTTCCAAACGGAAACCGGAATTCCTCATTCCCTCATCAATCTCCATACCGGGGTAAGTTCGGGGATTTCGCGGTTACGACGTCGGCCACGGTGCTGACAACGGCATGTTTTAATGTTAATTATTTCTGACGTGACCGTAGTGGCGAAATTTACGCCTCCCCTGAAATATTCACCGGGGCCAGAAACGAAGGATTAACGACGCCGATTGCCGGTGAAACGTATCGCGGGAAATTTCGCGGGACGGAAACCTGCTGCCGTCAGAACTCTTCAGAGCTCGGAACGTACAGGGAGACGCCTTTTACAGTGATTCCCTTTTGGCGCTTTCGCGTTGCTTGAACTTTGTGTGATTAATGTTGGTGGGATTAGGAGTTTCGCGGGAATTGCGAACTAGGGAAACGCCGAGGTAGATGTTAGGTTCGGTTCGCCAAGTGCTGGTGGTCGAAGTTGAAAGGAGCGTGTGGAGAATGGGAGAGGGGCAAGTTGGCAAGTCGCGAACCAGAGAATTTGAATGGTGGCAAGTGAGAAAGCAGAAATGGAAAATTGGATGTTTGGAATTGGAAATTGACAATTCGAAGCAAATTGACATATTCGGATACGAATCTTTTGCTGTTAGAAAAGTGAAAAGGGACAATTGAGAGTTGAAGATTCGAGGTTGAGCATTGTTATTCGAATGGTGGAAATTAAAAATTGAAAGTCGAAAGTTAATCGATCATCGGATATTTAAAAGCGGGAAAGTAGCAGTGGAAAATTGGAAATTGGTCATTGGAAGATCGTGTGGAAGAAACTGACGATCGAAAATAGATTCAATTTTGAATTTGAGTTGAAATCTAAAGGGTCAACTTTAAATACTGTGTTAACTTTATCAACTATGAGTTGAAAGTTAAGACTAAAATATGGAAATTTCAAAATCAAAAAGTCACAGTTAAAATTTAAAAATTTGTAAAAAATTAACGAGTGAGATACTGAGAGCCATCAATTAAATATTCCAATTAATAAGTCAGTAGTAATTGTCAATGAACCATTAATAGTCAAACATGAATAACCTTTGCTTAATTAATAATTAGAAATGCAAACTCTTACACTCAAAATTTAACCAAACTTGCCTACATCTGTTAAACTCTCTTTCCTCTCAAAAAATTTCGCCGAAGAAGAACGCAAATCTCACGCTGTACAATCAGATAATAAGAAGAAAGGAAAGATGTGGCACTTACATTTCAATAAATTCGTTTTTCTTTGTTTCATGAATAATCATATATGCCCGCGACAACAAAAAAGAGTCGGAAATATCTTTAGCAAAGGCGGTAACTTCTTGATGGTTTTTTCACACGCATTAGAAACGAGAGAAAAGTACATTCGTTGGTTTAAATGAAACGATTTCAGCAAGTCACGTTCGCCAAAGTGACGAGCCAGAATTAATATGCAAATTCTTAATTGGACGAATAATGGAGCCGCATTATTCCGGTGTTCCATCACTTTGTTCATTTCATTATATTCTTCCAACTTTTTTCCATACTTTGGTCGTCTTTCTACTTTGGACTTCCTCTTATCATTCTTATATTAAGTTGATCTATATGAATCATCGTTTCCTTAAAATTTAAATTTGGCGCGCTAGCACTGTACATTAAATTTTATCCTATCATGAATTATTATCGAACGCGCCAGAGGAGAAAAAATATGCTGTAAATTATGTATCATATTGGTAATATATTATACATATATTGTACATTATAAAAATGGATGTAATATTAAACATTGTGAAGATTTTGTATAAAAATGTTAAAACTCCATACGAATTTTTGATTTCATATGAGTTTAAACTTCATATAAGAAGATCGCAGGATTATCCTAATTCTCTGGATCTCTTAGGCATTGAATATGCATGATTTATAGAAATTTTCGTCATCTTTAATAATGGTTTATAATTGATTGCGTATTTAAATTTGGAAAATATATCACGAAAATTCCTGAAAACGTACGCTCAGCATTTGGAGAAGATGAAAGGCAGTGTCTGTTCAGTTCAGATAATTTTTTAATTTATAAATTATTTTATAAACGTATGTAAAATGCAAAAAAGCTTAGGAAAATTCACAATATCGTCATTTTACGAACATCGTCGTAAATTATTTCTGTAGTATTATTTTTTCCCCGAATCTTCAATTTCATATTTCACTATTTCTCCTTGTTTTTTCCAAAACTAGGATTTTCGTCCCACGTTCGGTGTGGCAGTTCAAAGTTTTGACTTTGAAAATCTATTTGTTTTATCTTTAACCTGTAATATTCTAGCTTCACCGGAGTCTTTCCCTCTACGCCCATTTTCGTTGCCCTTCGATCCAATTTTTCCGCACCGAGCGACACGAATACCGGTCCCGACGGCTTTTTCCCATTTTCCCTATGGAGTACTGTAACACCGTGAAAACCATGGCTCGCGAATTCGGCTGGGAAACTTCGTCACCCTGAATGGAAATCCGGCTGAAACTGTTTTGTTTCACGCGACACGAAAAGTGCACTAAATAAATGTCGAAATTAAATTCGATCTCTTCTATGCCAAGCTACCGAAAAATTTCAATCAAGAGAACTATTTCTTTTTTTTTTTTTTTTTTTTTTTTTGTGAAAATCTAATTTAAGGATGTATGCGTTAAATATACGAGTTTATTTCATTGTTAGCTCTTTTTATCTTAAAAAAATGAATCATTTTGATTGGTTTTTTTTATTCCAAAAAAAAGTGAATGATTTTCTATAGTATACCAAAGAAAAATTTACGTAATTACAATAGTATTACAAATTATCTCTCTGTAACACCATATGAGTTGGAATTTGTATATCCATAACTGTCGATGTTCTTAACATTTTGTTTTACTTGCTTCATCACTGTGCCGTTACATCTTATTAGCATACCATTATTTTCGCACAAAACAATCTTCAACACTTATTTTCTATAACACCTGTCAATAACAATTACTAGTTTCTATTCTACAAATATCCACAATTTCTATAGCACATATTTCTAACAAGCATCAATCTCTAGATCTCAAACTAAAATATCAGACTATGATTAATCACAACTCTTTTCACTCATACAATCAAATTCAAATTCGAATCACTGATAATTCCACTCTCTCGTAATCGAGCAAAACGCACTTAACAATCGTCAATTTCTACATTCCAAATTAAAGTTACAAGACTGAACCAATTGCAAATCAGTTGCCTTATAATCGAACAAAATTCTGAACGGTTAAGTCTAACAAAAGTGTGTAAAACCAACGATACCTTAAAATCACAATAATTCTATCCTATCAGACAACACCGAGATAGAAAGCAGAGTTTCACCGTTAGATTTCCCGGTCGATTTTTCGCGAGGCAATCAGCGATCGTTTCTTTCCATATTCCGACGACCTGCCACTGAAAATTCGATTAAATTTCGCACCGGTAACCGAACGTTTTCATTATTACGGTGGCTGGTGGTAATTTCCGTGGCGTAGGTTAATATTTATCTTCGCTGGCGAATAGAACGAAGCGTGTTCGTTTCGCGAAGCTTTGCAACCATCTCTATAAACACGGTCGGTGGCCGTCTTTGTTATTTCGTTTAATTGGATCCGTTTGATTCGATCGCGGCCGACTTTCGTCGCTGATTCCGCCTATCTTGCAGAAATATTACCTTCCTTCTCTCATTTCTAACTTCGTCTCGGCATTTATCATCACGATGCATAATTAATTTCTCCGATTATCTTTGGGTAATTTTCATTTTTTTAATCACTGTCGAATGATTTTCATCATTAAAAGATAGAAAGAATAAAACTCTAAACCTTACCGCCACCATCGAACATAGATTAAAATGGAATTTTCTGGTAAACGCTAGTGCTAGGGTTAAGGATAAATAATAGCGAGGACTAACGGAGACGATGTCTCATTGGGAAATTTTCAGGCGAGCAAGAATTATGGCTGGGCGAGCAGCGGGTGCAGCATCCTCTCCGAAATTGGCACGATGCATCTCGAATTCACCTACCTCAGTGACATCACGGGCAATCCGGTTTTCAAGAGCAAGGTCGAGAACGTGAGGAAAGTGCTGAAGAACCTGGAGAAACCGAAAGGACTCTACCCCAACTATATTCACCCGAAGACTGGGAAATGGGGCCAGCGTGAGTTTTTTTTTTTTTTTTGTTTCATTATTATTTATTCGTCCAGAAAAATTTTTCGTTTACCGTAATATTTGTTCCTTCGAACCAAAAAATTCGTTCCTTTCACATTTTTGCGTATCATTAAAAGTAACGGATATATCACCTTGTAACAGAATTATTTGGGCACCCTGTATATGTACTGAATTCCAATTTCTGTTTCTTTCGTCGTACGTGTCTCTATCTGCGTGTTATTCCTCAAGCAACCCACGCAAGAAACCCAACCACTTAATAACAATAATAAATCTTGGTCATACTTGGTACCCAGCATCCCCCGAGTAATCCCATTGCCGCGTTACTTAAATCATTATCCGCATCAATTCCAGCGGCAACGATCGGTTTGCTGGCAAAAACACCAGGTTAATTATTCTTCTCATGCTACATCGCACCTTCATAAATTTCACACGTACCTAATAAGAGAACTATCTTTCAGAGAACCACCGGTAATTCTCACGGTGGGACGTGAACAAAACGACCAGGCATGCGCGAACACAGTTTCACGATAAAATCATTCACCCCGCGAGCGATCATCAAAACGTATCCTCGATCAATATGAAAGACGGAAAAGGAAAAAATAATCACGGAAACACGAACCACGTGAAAATTATCTGGATCCTTCTCGATGTATATAGTTCAAATGAAAGCTACAAAAATTCAAGAAGGCTATAATTTTTACCATTTCTTTTTATTCTGTTTCGTTCTTTGTGCCATTTCTTTCTTCGTTGAATCAAAAATATCCAGTCGCTATTTAATACGTTTTACATAATTTAATAAAAGGAGGAGATAAAAGATACGAGGAAGCTTAGATATTTTGACATATTTTGAAAAATATGAAAATGCTTGGTAGAGTGTTTCAATCACGAAGAATAATAACGTTACTACTAGTTTCTATCTTGAAAAATGTACATCTTCGTAATTACCTGCGTCAGATTATTAAAATTCTAACGATACTCCCTTTCGTCCGCCAAATTCCATGGAAATGAACAAAACCGTATTTCCCGAGCTACCAGTCGATCTTCAAACGCACTTCGCCGCACAATACCAAAGAAACAACTCGAACAACAAAGCTAAAAGGTGATGTTTTGATCAGACAAAAAGAATCACAGAGAAAAAGGAGATCAAGTTTAAACGCGTAAAAAGAAGGGAAAAATTCGAGACGTGGAATAACGATGGATGTCGGATGTAAATGTAGCCGATGCTTTATTACTGTAATTTCATTTAATAAATCTTCACGCGTCCGGAGAATTTCGGGCAAAATAGATTTTTAATCTGACGGCTATCAATTATATCGGTGGAATAGTTTCGATGGCGACAGTGGCCGAGCAGAGATGAGAAGAGGGGGGCAACGAGAAGCGAGAAGGTGTCGACCCTGTTCCACAAGCAGCCACCGGTGTCCTCAGTTTCCTTTTGTGCTCCCGTCGCCTTCCGAGGAGAAGGTTACCTCTCATGGCCGGCACTCTTTGCACCGTCTCCCCCGAATATCGCATTTATCATACCGTGCATCCCCTCGGGTGCTAAATCCTCCTCTTCTCCCGTTGTTCCGCCGACTTCGTGCTCCTCCTGTATTTTCCTGTCGCGCGTATGACGATCCCTGACGAATATTTATCATCGTCGTAGAACCGACCATCGCCATCCTTCGCGTTTCTTCTCAAATCCTCCGGTTCTATCTTTCCTCTTCGTTTTCTTCCTTTTTTCCCCTCTTCTTCCTTCTTTGTCTTTTCCTTAGTTTTCCTCTTAGTTTTCACTCTGCTTGCTTTTTCGTTTGTATTCTTATCATTGCACGTCTTGCACGTTGCGATTCTTCGTTCGTCCAAGTTCCGGATTCATCCAAACAACCATTAAATTTACGATTCTATCGATTGGTGAGAAGCGAGAATCACTTTATCGCAAGAACAAGGTTTTGGTCAAATATAAGATGTTTGATATATACGATGTTTCATACATCGTACATCGCATTGGCTTTTTCTTTTTTTGTATACTCGTCTCTATTCGTCTTTCTCATTGGGTCTTCTCGTTCATCCAAGCAGCCATCAAGCTTCGAGTCTCCTTAAATTTATGGTTCTATTGAATGTCGAGCGTCGCGAGGCTACTTCCAAGAGGAAACTTGGGCCAACTAATTACCCGCTCAGCTTGTATTCTACCCTTCTGATATCTGAATGGCCAACGAGCAGCTGCGAATAAGACTCTTCCCTTCGAGTATGCTTTTGTATTACGTTCTTTGAACACATTTTCCGATATTGATGGTTTGCGATACTGCGATCAACGACGGAGGAATGTAGATTAGGCGGACGTAGCACGAAGTTCACATGTTTCGAATATTTGCGATGAGAAATATTTTCAGTGATTCTATGAGTGAATCATCGAGTAGTTGTCGTTTTTAACCCTAACGCGGTTCTCCAATTTTTTAATTTCTATCTTGTTCCCATTTCGACGTACAAATTAGGTTTGCTGTATTTGAAGTAAACGTCTATAACGTAGAATTATACGCAACAATGTTTTCATATTTTACTCAAGCTTGAGATATTTTTTAATGCTAGAAGAACACAATTGGATCGGAAATGACTGAAAGAACACAGAACACAGAATGAAATATGTATCTTTCGTTTCATTTCTATGTCGCTATCACGATTAGCGTAGATCTGTTCATTCATTCGTACGATTTAATAAATCTACAAATTTACATTTCCTATACATGGTTGGTGCAATTTTACCCCAGGATTTGTAAAGTTCAAGTACTACAATTGAGTTTCTCTCAATGACTGGACTTCCTTCGCTGAGACTCCGTTAGAAGCTAAAGAGAATTATTCTGATGTTTCTGCAGTTCTGTTGTAAAGAACGTCTAAAACAGAAAGGAGGACTAAATAAGAGAACAGGGAAGAATAATACGTTTCATCCAGAAGTCTGTTAGTGGTTTGAAAAAGGCTATTTATTTAATAATTTCGTGCTTCAAACGTAGAGACAATGTAGCTCAAGTTGAAAGAAGTATTCGTAGAAATTGGATGATTAGAGAATATTCTAGGATACACGTGAATGACACACGGTTGGATAAGCAGTAATTTTCTATTTAGTACAGTATCCACTTTAAATATCGATTTCCCATTTAATTATTTAATATCTAGTTCGAGAACCTAATTGAGATTTTCCCTCCTAACAAAAGTATTCAATATCTACCTCGAGTATCTAATCGAAATTTCATTTCCTATTATATTATCCGATGTATCTACTGCAAATATCTGATTGAAATCTTATTTCCGAAGAAATTTACTTTTCTGGAACATTAACGAAATGGAAGCTTCTAGATATTATAGTGAATAAAATTACAATGAACAGCATCGAAGATGGATAAAAATAAAGCAGGATATGCATCCAAAACACTTAACCTTCCTCTGTTAAAGTTATCCATCGGATAAAACAGTTCAAACTTCATACATCCCACGAATACGTAGAAACCTGCACCGATCTGCCAATATCGTGCCTCGAATAAAATGTTCGAGGGGAAATAAAAGCAATAAAAAATCCTGCTCATCGAAACCTCATTTAAAAGCGCATAAACTTTCTCTAATAAAATTAACCATCGAATAAAATATTCGAAACATCGTATTTCCAATAAATGCATAAAAACCCACGGTCTATCGATATCAACCGTCAAATAAAATATTCGTAATGGAATAAAATCAATCAGAATTTCAACACGTTGAAATCTCGTCTAAAAACACTTAGCTTGCCTCTATTTCGATTGCAATCGTCTCCCTCGCGTTTCTCTTGCAGCATGAAGAACAAAAAGGGGTTGCAGGAAAACGAAAAGGCTCGACGCTCGCAGCAGCCACGAACTGCAGAAGAAGAGTCACGAGAGTAAAACCGCCCGAGCTTTTTCTTTGTCCCGTGCCCTCTCTCAGACGAGTTGTCGGAGTAGCCCTCTTCTTCGTGCAAAAACCTCGCGGATATTCGCGTGCAAATGCCAGCCTCCACTATCTTCCGTACCTTCGAGGGCCTGTAGAGCTTGAGTGCTCGACCATTTCGCCGTTCGCTGTCGTAATAAAGCACCACTCTTCGAATCGTCGATTTCAACGAACGATTTCCAGCGTAGGTCGTCCCTCGGCGTTATTAATCGCTATCTCCTTTGAAAATCCGATTGCTTTGAACAACGATTATACTGGAGAGTCGCGAAGTCGTTGAATGGCGTTCTGTAACCGTCGAAGGGTATCGGTGTTCGTAAATACGATGAGAAAGCTGCTTCAAAGTAATTGTCTCGTTGACTGAAAGTGGCTGGAAACGCTTTCTTCGCCGGTTTGTCCGCTTCGTTTTCCAGTCGAATGGAAAGCCGCCTCGGTGGAAAGCTGAGAATTATGAAACTGGCTATACAGTCGCGCGGCACGGAGATGTCTTCTTGACTGTTATTAAAATGGAAACCCTGTCGACAGGAATCCAGCGGATTTTCGACGTAGCTTCTTTATCTCGCCGCTTTTGAAACGTGTAATGAGCTTAAGAGGACTCGCGAGATGGATTTTCGAAGTTGTCTTAACGAACTTGCTCTCTGGACTTGACGAATTTATCTGATTATGCCAGACATAGGATATAATTGAATCTCCGCCTTATGGAATTAAATTGCGTATTTCTATTATCTTATTTCTAGCATTCGCTTTAATTGCTTTTTCGAGCATAATCTTTAGAATGTACTGGCTATGATTATTTTAGTACGACAAGTTTTGTAAAGACAGTAATGCGTTTGATCAGTTTCGCCAAAAACGGATGCATTTGTCGCCTGGTTAATTAACAATTCACCGAATCTTAATAAAGAAGAGGTACGAGAGGAATAAATAAGTTTACCATCTTTTTATTTCCGAAATAAAACACAACAATGTTCATTATAAAAATTTGCCAAAATTGCTATATATAAAAATATGTAAAGTGCCGAAGGGTGGATAACGATAGAAAAAAGATCTGTAAATGATACGACGATGATAGAACGTAAGGAAATTGGGAGTATTCCAAGTCGGATTGACGGACGTTTGTTTTCTTGTCGAATCACAGATCACATGTCGTTGGGAGGTCTCGGTGACAGTTTCTACGAGTATCTGTTGAAAGCGTGGATTCAGTCCGGCAAAGAAGACGTCGAAGCCCGACAAATGTACGACGAAGCTATCGCAGCTATAGATCAACACATGATCAAGACATCACAGGGCAAGCTGCTCTACGTGTCGGATTTAAAATATGACAGGCTCGAGCATAAAATGGGTCATTTGGCGTGTTTCGCTGGTAAGTTTTGAAACAAACTTCTTTTATTCCTCCGTTTAAGCTAATACCTCTTTCTAAAAAAAAAGAAAAAGTATTTTTACAAAATTGGCCTGTCTGTCTCCAGGTGGTATGTTTGCATTGGGAGCGAAAACCCAGGAAAACGAACTGTCTGAGAGATACATGACGATAGCCGCTGGTTTGACCAACACGTGCCACGAATCCTACGACAGAAGTTACACGAAACTCGGACCAGAAGCCTTCCACTTTATCGAGGGTAACGAAGCGAAGAGTTTAAAGAACGGCGAAAAATACTACATTCTTCGGCCAGAGGTAAGTTCTATTCATACAGATTTGAATCAACGTACTTGTTTGTCGATTAGAAGCTACATAAGTAAATAATGGAAACATCGAGGTGCGGAACATATCGATATGAATTTTCTATTGATTCGTTGAATGCTCGTTAAAATGTAATAATTAAACGGTGGAAGATGTTCGTCTTCTTTGTGCATTTAATTTGAATATACTCTTCTCATCGTTTTCGTAATTTTTTAAATCTATTCAGATTTTTCAACCATTGATTCTTATATGATACAATTTAGATTAAGATCCTGTTTCTCTCGTAATTTGTTTTCCAATTATACACTTGGCTCAACAAGCTGTGCATTGGCTCTAAGGATTTCTTGTTGTGGAAATCTTGTTTGATTTACCGTTAATGGGAAAATTTTTAAAAAGTAACTCTTCATTAAATGCGTTACTTTCTGCATACGCAATATGTTTCTCGCAGTATTAGAAAATCAAAAAATTGAACGATACATCCACGAATTTAAGAAACGAAATTTCTATCCTATTCTTGTCTGAAATCTGATAAATGCCAGCTTCAAACACAGCTTCAAGGAATTAAAAAAAACGATTTCCATTTTGATCAAAAATACAAAATCTACTTTCAAAAACGAGCATCTGTTCGATCCATTCTGTCCGTGAGTCTATCATTAAACGAAAAAAAAAATCCGTGGACGAGTATGATTCGATGACAAACGAAAAAACGATCAAACGAAGCAGATAGAAACATTTTAGCATTTGTTTCCGGGTGTTTCCACCACCGGTAATGCAAACTGAAATATTCAATCCGTTCTTTTTCGCGTGACTTGCCAGGACAAACACAGGCTGTTCGCCAAATTCCGAGGTAAAATATTTTTCTTTCAGACCTTCGAATCGTACTTCGTGATGTGGCGGCTGACAAAGGATCCGAAATACCGTGAATGGGGCTGGGAAGCTGTTCAAGCGCTCGAGAAATACTGTCGCGTTCCAGGAGGCTTCACTGGACTTCATAATGTTTACTTGGTCGATCCTCCGCAGGACGACGTGCAACAGAGCTACTTCTTCGCCGAGACGCTCAAGGTAGCATGATTTCTATCGTTATTCCTTTGATTTCTAGCCAAACTTCTAGCATGCGTCGCAGAATTTGAGAAATATTCTTTACTCACTGTAGCGTTTCATAATATAATTATTCTATAATTAGCCATATTTTAGTCACGAAAAACGCTGAACGAACGTTAATGCATTAGAACGATAATCTTTATTTTAAAGATAAATGCGATAGGTATTGAATCTACAATTTATAGATCGCGCTAGGTGAAGATGAACCGAAATGAAAAAAAAAATTGTATAACGTGAAATTACATTCTATAGGATTTTATACGAAGAAGAGTATTGTACGATTAATTTATAACATTGCACGATCTGTGTATCCAATGGTGTCAATCAGAAGTGGGAAAAGGAAAATTGTACAGAAGTATCTTGTTACGCGATTATTTCGAAGACATTTGTTTCTCCTATTACATAATTATATGTAATTATTGCAATAGGAAATTGTACAATTTAATAGCAATACAGATTGCTAATTAATTGAAAGTAGCAGTTCAAATTGTTGGTAGTAAAGGACCGGTACTAAATATGTACGACATTATTATCGAGGAATAATATGTAATAGGAAATATAAAGAAAAATAATAATAACAATCGTCGTTTCTGCGACTCAATATAACACATTTATTTTCCACTTGGCAGTTTAAACCTGCTAAGAATCCCAACTAAACGTCGTTAACGTTACTATCGCCACGATATCTCACAATCTGTTCCCATTTTCCTAAACGTTAACGAACGTTTTCTTGGTCGTTACGCCGTTTACGTCGCGTTCACAAATTTTCATTTAATCTTCTGCCGAGAACCGCATGGCCGATGAAACATTTTTCGAGCGTTCGCAACGCGTTTAAAATTGCATTATCCGGGGCGTAGCGTGGCCGCGTCGTTAACTTCCGGTTAAAGGGAGTGAAACGCGAGAATTTTCACACGAGCATTGCAACCGTTGCACAAAAATTAAACGATCAGAGGCAAGAGCAAGGGACCTGCGTCTGGCAATTATCGGTTAGAACGACGACTACGCTAAGAAGTTAATCGACTTGTTAACAGTTTGCTTGATTGCTACTTCGAATTTCTCGAGACTCGTTGCCTCTCGGAAAAATCTCATTAGCTGGTTGTTATTTCAAAGCGACGCGTTTTAAATACTTTATAATTGTAAATTATAACCATAGAGCGTAGATGAATAGAAATCTGAGATTATCATTAGTATTTATACTAACTGACACTGGTGTGTAAAGACTATTTCTGGAAAACGAGTAAAGTCGTCATTAGTTTAGTATACTGTTTTCTAAAACTATGAATTGTAAATTACATTAACGAAGTCAATGATAAATTATTCTAGACGCGTACTAGTTTTATTTTCTACGTGGAGGGAATGTTAGAAGCTAGACAGAGAAATAGGATTAATATCTGCAATAAACGATACTCCTCGATTGAGTCTCGAGAAAGAGCATCCGAGTGCTATTAAAGCCTCAATGGTTACGATCCATATATCTCTTAATCGTTCATTAGTGTTTTACATGTACTATTAAATTATATGAAATTACGTATAATACAAGCTTAAGAAATAATAAGAGAAAAAATGTACCAGCATTTATAAACATATAATAGCTGATTAATTATCAAATATTAAAATTAATAACTTGATTCTTTTAACGATCGCATCAAAGAGAATGGTCAAATTAAAAATCTAAAAGCAAACTAACGCATTCGCTGCTGCTAAAATATGGCTATTCCCTCGCTTTTATCGAAGATATATTTAACCAATACTATTTATCTTACTTTGCTTGCCTTTCTAAGCCTTCTTATTTAAATACGCGAGAACAAAAACTCAACAGTTGCATCTAGTTATTACTGAAAGTCTAACGGTTAACTTTTAGACAATTAGCGCGCCGCGTTACGTACAAAACGAAATAATTAGATTACGGATTTTTATACAAATTTACGTTTCCATGAACACAGGTAAATGGAAGTTAAACAGAGATTCATTTCACCCACTAAATGTTATAACGTGTACTTCACTTTGGATACTTGGTATACTTTTCCACGTTATATGCATTCTGTACTTTTTTACATTTTTCATACATACAGATTTTTCGCGAATATACCTAACATGCAAACTTTCTAAACTCGCAATTATGCATAAATATTAAATATAAAAATCTGTAGTCCAATACTTGGTAATAGCTCATAATAAATACATGCACAAGCCAGCAGGATATAATCGTTAAGTGTACGTTCTTGTCTATTTCAGTACCTCTACCTGCTGTTCAGCGACGATGATCTCATAAATCTGAACGACTGGGTGTTCAACTCCGAGGCTCACGTGCTTCCCATCAGGGGCAACCCCCTGTACCGGGCGTCTCCCTCTTTATAATTCAAAGGAAACTCTCACACCTGGAAGAAAACGACACACCGACGACACAGCAAGACCGTTCTAACAGCTCGAAACAATCGGAAGTCGTCCGCTGTGCACCAGGAAGAGAGAGAGCGACAACGTGAGAGATGAACAAGAAGAGGGAATAACTTGGAACTACAAGAAACAAGAAAGAGAAGAAAAAGCAACGCAAAAATTCAACAGTGTACGCGATAAGAAAATACAAGGAAAAATAGAACAGTGAACAAGTTTCTGGATTTAGAAGGTAAAAAAAGAAAGAAAAAAAAAAAGAAAAGGAAAAGAGAAAAGAAAGGGAAAAAGGAACAAATCAAGGAACGCGTTATTACCTGTGAAAAATTATAGACAGATCGATGAACAGTGAAAATAATAGGAAAATGGAGAGAGACTGGAGAGGCGAGACGACGACGTGGATATTCAGCTCGCAAAAGCCACGTGTCGCCGCGGTGAATACAATTAAAAATAATTATTTTAGGTAAAACGAGATATAATAGGGGACAGGGAGAACGTGGAGAAGATGATAACGAACGTTATTTAAGCGACAAACTATACAGATGAAGAATTACACGGAGACACACACACACACATACACACAGAGTACGTTTGTAAATAGCGAAAAAAGAAGGAATGTGTGAACAAAACTATATAATAGATGGTGCGAGAAAGAGAGAGTGAAAGAAGCGAGAGACGAGAGAATAAGGGAGACGTATGCTTGAGCGAAAGAGACAATTTGAAATAGAGAAAGAATGCGTGTATGCGTGTTAGAGAGGCAGAAACTAGAATGAAAATTTAATCGTTTGCCTGAATGCTTGACCCATTTTCTTTTTTCGCCTGCGACATAAAAATGGTCTAGGCAGCCGAACCTATTTCAATGAAGATCCGAATATCGAACGTTCCAGTCGGATCTCTTGGTGATTATGACGAAACTGTTCAATCGGTGTTTCTCTTTTCCTTCTTCCTTCTGTTCGAGCTTTTTTAAAGACGTGGCGCTCTAACGTCCGAGAGGTAAAAATTAAAAAAAAAAGAAAAAAAAAGCGAAAAATTATAAAATTCTCTGACAAATAACGAAGATGATTATTTGCTAAATAATTAGTCGATGTAATTGGTTTGGGAATTCGTATTTTATGGGAAAGCATTTAGATCGAAATAGGTAATTATTTAAAAAGAAACTTTCGTATACCTATGTTAAGAACGTTTGAAAAAAAAAGAAAGAAAAAGACACCAGTCCTCCAAGAAGATCGATCAGTGGATCTATAAGTTATTCTTATTTTAATTAACAATTATATCGATCGCTGATCGATCTCGCCACTTTTCAGACTTCACCAACACGAGACCTTCTTCGCGGCTTTTTCTATCTTTTTCTACTTTTTGAATAAACGACACACTGCGCCTCGATCGTCTCGGTGGCAGAAAGCGCCGATGGAAATTCGTTCGATCCGGTCGCGCTACGTATTTGATGCGACGATTTCGTTTTAATTTTTAACCGGCTACGCGAGTGTTTTATAGAAATCAAAGTGCGCGGAATTGTTAACAAATCACTATTTGTCTTTGTTTAGAAATTTTAATATATTGAATTACGAACGAAGGGTAACTCTCGTTTCTCTTTAAACAAACTGTTGTCATAATTCGTGAAAACATGAAATAAAATCAAAAGACGACATTAGTATTTTTACATTTTATACCGTGTGAATCCATTTATGCTTGAAAAGAATATTTTATTGGAATACCGGAGTTTCATTGCTTGGAATAACGCAGTTATTGAAATTTGGAAATCTCCTTAGAAATACGAGTGCAGAGTTTACAGAAGCTGGAGCATAAATGGGTTACGTTTAAAAGTTCCTTACATATCCTTTTGTTTCTGCGTCGCGTTCGGCTGAATTTTAAGGCGAATCGCCAAGTGCTTCCATGTAACTGGCTGGAGAAAATTTCGAAGAAGTTTCAGCCGAAACTTTTCTATGGAATTCGTAGTTTGAATCTTTATGGGCGTAATATGGAAAAGGAATAAGCGTACGAGGAAACGTAAGGAAAGATTTTACGATTTTCGAGCGTGTTTAACGGCAATGTGAAGCACAAGAGCAAAAGCGTCGGCTACTTGTGCGAATTACAATGGTATTAATGGAAGAACAGGCTTGGTTTATTTCACGTATTTTACATATTTATACGTTTGATATCTTCCTATTATTTTTACCATCGCTAAGATTCCTTACGAAAAATTTCTTAAGTGCTGCAAATTATTTCCATAAAATACGAAAAATTCAATGAATTAGTAGATTTATCATAAAACACATCTAGAATATTGACAAAGCACTAATAGATTATTTTAATAAGTATCTAAATATTTTAACGCTATTGATTTTAAAATTTATCTTAAGATTCTACTTCTATCTTAGTAAGGAAATATATATTCGATGTGAATTCTTTCATCAATCCAACGAACGGTTCTCAAAAAAGTCAATTATCCATCAAGGAAATTAGAAAAAGAGCAATCTTCAAAATACGAAATTTAAACCATCCATCCATTTAACGAAACAATCAGTTTTCGTTTCTTCGACAAGTTATATTGCCTGAAAAAATCAAAAACCATCCCCCAGTACAATCTTCATCACGATGAACATCAACTAGAGGGTTGCCCTTCGGACAACGAAATATAATTATTATTAATATTATACAAAGATGAGAAATTGGCTGGCAAAAGATTCGATCTTTCTTTCTTCTTGATAAACCAGCAGGAATTTTCTATCGTTTTCAACAAAATCTTCGATGTAAAATTTAAACATGAAAGACGCGCATTAGCAACAATTCTTTCATATTTGTCCAAACTTGAGAGATTTTTTAACGATAGAGAATCCTAATCGAATCGTCAATTATCACGATATAGAACACGATCACCATCTTTCGTCCTTCGTCCTTTGCATAGCCAACTTCTCAACTTTGTACAATAGAAAAATTCAAAACCACTGGACTGGAGATGTTTACACAGATTCGTATTTTTATGAACGCAAAGAAACGAAAGACAATATTTGATTCACCCACTTAATATTATCTTTAATCGAAAATCGAAAGCTTCTGCGTTGTTACTGTACATTAAACGCGATTGAGAAACAAATGTGGTACACGTTCTTCGAATTGCGGGATTAAAATAAAAATTCCAGCTATGTCTCGGATATTTTTTATATTTTTCCGCGTTGCGTGCATTTTTGTACCATTGAATTTCCCCGAAACACGTAAACATCCGCAGTCTAGCGATCACCGTTGCATCGATTCTCGCGTTCGACAGCATCATCCATCGAATGTTCGTCTCGTGGAAGGCTTTCGGCCATCGAGCTGCCGGAATCAACGTGCAGCCCCTGATCAGTAGTTTCCGGTGCAAACGTAACCTCACGAGACTCATATTTTTTCCTTGTGTGTGTTAAATAAATCAAAAATCGCGAGCCAAATTCCTACGTCGTATCCACCATTGACCCTATGCAGAGAAGACTGGATCATTGTCGACGCGATTGTCGAATATTTTATTCTATTGAAACTTCGATAAATGTAGCTTCTCCACTCGTCTATGACAATCGAATTTACTTAAAAAGTAAAACCGTCAAACCTTCAAAAACTTAGAATAATACTGTCGCTTTCAGTCAAAATATCCCGCGTAGCACTTTTTCATTTTTCAAGATACGCTAAAGTATTTGAAATTTTTACCCGTGTTTCTTACCTTGCGTGTAAAGTTACGTTATACAAGCTGTAGCGATACGATGACTAAATATTTCAAATTGATCGAAGGGAATGATATAGTTCGAGCTTTTCTAGGTTTTAAATAGCAGATGGGAGATTTTGATCAAGGAGGACAGAATAATCATCGAGTCCACATCGATCGTCTCTATAAATTGTAAATTAGAAAAAATTGATATCACAAACGCTGTTCTTTTTTATTTTTATCTTCAAATTCGCTATCAACCATGTCACTCCATTGCGATAAATAAACTTACCGGAGTCTCCTATTCGTTTCCTAAAAATCGAACTGCTAACCTTACGCTTCTGCGTTGTACAATAAAAAAGAAATTCGGAAAAACTAGAGTTGGTCAAGCTATCTTAACTGGCAGCTTCGCGTAATCGTAATTTAGAAAGAGACAAACGTGAAACACGTACGTGAGACGGAATTGATTCAGCCTTCGTTGTCAGAGGGTTAAACGATCGACAGAAGGATGAGTCGCGCGCGATTTTCAACGAAAGGGGAAAAGCGTAAAAGCGACGCGCGAAATCAGTCGCGCGTGGTAGTTTAGTAAACGATGTAGCAACCGATAAACTAGCGTGTATATAGATGAAAAGATTTCAAAAGAGAAAAGTAAAAAAAGAAAGTCATATTCTATAGGAGGTACGAGGCGTAGAAACAGAGTTATATAGAGGTTACTGGATGTGTAATTGTATAGGCTTTGCAACGAACGTGCGCAAGAAAAGAGAGAGAGAGAGAGAGGATATGTGTGCGTGAGAGTGGAGGTACGCGAGAGATATTGTAAATTCGAGTTGTCAAGACGCGTTTCGAGTTCGAGTCGGATGCGTTCCCATATTGCGAAGCTGCGTTCCATTACGAATAACGAGCAGCGTTCTTGGAAAGATAAAGATAACTTTACGAAATGTAAAAATTAGTTTTGTTCCTTTTCGTCATTTTTGTAGATTTATAAGTTTCAGAGATTTTAATCGGCCACAATAAGAATTAAAATATGTTGGTTATTTAAAGGTATAAGAAATAGATTACCGTGATATCTTTTTAGAAAAATCCCTTGGTTTTCGTAATTTTTGTAGGTTTCTAAATTAACCGAATACTTCGAAAGTACAAAAACCTAGACCGTCGTAGTATTTCATAAAGATTAATAGGTGGACCTTTTATGGGGAGCTTTTTTAGGATGATCAAATTTTGAACAATTATTTCTCAACGATTAATTGATAGCGCATGACGAAACTTCGGATTTCGAGAATTTGAGACAGATATAAATTAAGGAAACGACATTTGAAATTGCAAAACCAAAAATGGAAATCATCGATTCCTGACGAAGAAGATTTATACCATCGCTTATGAATGTTTGAAGCTCTTCTGCAACTCGATGTACGAAGATCTTCGAAGTTTAAAACACTGCCTGACTCAAACCACCGACATTATGTGAGCGATTTTCGTCCTCTTCTTTCAGGAATCACGCGAATATTCTTATACGGTTTAACAAAACGATTGTCGAAAGGGAAACTATAGAACGTATTTTTATAACAAGAAAAGAAAGAACGCAACAAAAGAGTGGGATATCAAACGATCGAATCGACAAATCTTTTTTCCCAAGTATCGACTGTCGTTTTTCGCAATTAAACGCAGCAGAAGGGACAGGAAATATCGAAGAAATACGTGTCCTTGATGGAGGACCGATCTCGAGGAATTTCCCGCATCCGCTTTCCAAACAATCAGCGAGTCGATGACTAAGACGGCCAGAAAGTTACTTAATATATTATAACATAATGATACTTTACGCCTCTTGCCTTTTTCGTTCCTCGGGCTTGGATGGCCGCTCGGAAATTCACTGTTTCGAGCGTTCATCCTTGGAACAGAAGCAAGACACCATATAGAATGTATACACTCAACTATACGGAAGCACATGCGTATGTTTCTCGTACAAGGTGGAAGCGAAATGCTTAAATACGAGAACTGACAAAGAAACAAATGAAACGAGCAGGTGTTTCGATTGTAATTTCTCGTACGTTGTGTGTTTCTAAGAGATTCATTGATCCTTGACACAGTTACGATTATCATTCGTTCATGGACGTTCATTGTTACTGACGTGTTTTGAAGCGATCTGTTCAAAATAATTCATTCGTCGATTCTTCGTTTCGTTTCGAAATGGAAGCTTTCGTCGGGAAGCTTCGTTCAATCCGAATACGAAGAAAGAGATATTTTTAGAAGATGTTTGCGATTTTCATCCGAAATAGACACTTGTAATTATTTATTACGAATTTAAATGTATATAATTATTAAAGAATCGTGTTACTTTGAACATATTTGTCGTTATTATTTATGACAATGTAGGAAGGAACAACGAATACCATCGAAATTTCATTTGTCAAGGAAAAATCGTTTCGACGACGTGGTAACAACGGACAGACCGAGAAAACTTCAGTGTCTTCTAACGCGTGGAACCAGCTCATTCGGAATTGGACGAGCAAGCGATCTTCGTTTTCCTCCCTTTCCGTAGGAACAAATCGATCGAATAAAACAATTCTATTTTGCTGCTGATATTATATACTTACACGAGCAAAGAAATAAAACGACAGAGGGAAACCGTTAGGTCGTTGTCCTGTGTAAAGAAAAAAAAACAAATTGTTATTTATAATAGTAACGAAAAGATTGTCGCTGATCTAACAGAGCGACGACGATGGATGAGGATAGATTCGACGGTGGTGAAGATAGTAATAAACGATAATTAGCCTATACATATATTTGTGAATAGATATTTAATAATTTATTGTTAACTAGAGTATTTTATTTGAAGGATTTTCATTACACGGGGTTTCGGGTACCAATAATATCGTTTCTTACGGCAGAGAAAAAAGGGGTTCAAAAAAAAAAGAGACAGAGCGAGAGAGAGAGAGAGAGAGAGAGAGAGATTGTGTGAAAGCGATTATGCGAGTGAAGAAAAAAAATAATGAGATTAAAATGGGCGACAATTTCTACGTGCGCTTTTGTCAAAGAATCGAGAGAGAGAGAGAGATAGCGAAGAAAAGATAGAAAACAGTTTCTTAGCTTTACTTACCTAATTTTTGTAAGCAGAGCGACAACGGACAGACGCCGGTAAGGGGAAAAATAAAATGGTGTAAAAGAAAACAAATTATATATATTATATATTTATCGTTGGTCGAAGAACGGAGAGAGGAGAATGGGTGAACGAGAGGAAAAAGAACAATAGAATAAAATGTAAAACGATGAGCGCGTCGCGCGCCAGCATTCGACGCGAACTATAATTATACTTGTAAATACAGTACACGATTTAGTGATAATACGGGGGTTTTACTTTTAACAGCTTTATGTGATTATTACTTTGTCATGATCAATGAAATAAATAAATGATGATAATACTTTAATCTATATTTCGTTAATAATCGTTCCCTTACCTTTCGACATCTTTTTAAACTTCTCGCTTCAATTTCGATTCAAATGCGAATTTACTTTCATTCTCGAGATCTCTACGTTCAGATTTTTTAACAAAGATGGCAAAGTTAGATTCTTATACGTATCTATCGAAATTCTGACCCTCTTTATTTTATCTGTAAATCCTCGTGTGTCTTTTTCTTTTTAATTCACGTATAAAATATGTCACATTCTTCGATCTTCTTTAAAAAATCAATCAATAAGACAACGTGCATTCTTTTGTACGAAATTCCTAACTAACGTCACGAAACAGGTGCAAACAAGAAAAATCGATTATCTAACAAAATTTATACAGGCGAAAGAATCGAACGTGAGACAAGGTCGGATGATTACATATTGTACATAAGCTGCATATATCAGGGAATAGCTATTGGGAATTTCGATGGTAAGTAGAATTATTGTTCAATAATGCAAATCAGGCGCAGCTGCTTCATGTGCTAATTAGGTCCATGGGGGATGGAGAATGTCCATCGACATCGAAGTAACAAATCCCTTTGATGGCCGGCTGAATCCTCCTAATGGTCATGCCGCCGGCTACTGTTAATAACCAATCAGAAATGACCCGTGTACGAAACACGTTGCTCGGTTAATTGTTAGTCGATTCGAAATTCGTATACGACATTAGATTGCCATGAATTGGACACATTGCTAGAAGCCACGTTATATTTTCAAATATTTCGTACGCTATAAGCGGAACGATGAACATACTTGTGTATTTTATATAAATTTCATTTCTATGCTTACTAAAAATACATCAAGAGCCTTATTTTATTTTAGCATAATTATCGAAGTAATAATGAGAACGATACGTACACTGACATAGCAAATTCAATTCGATAGCGCTTAAGCGAAATACGTCCATTAGCTGGAATGCAAATTAATCTATTAAAGACCGACATAATACGTAATGAAGTAATGCA